TTTGTGATTATGCAACACCCGCATGGTTCCTATAAGAATTGATTCACACTTTCGTAATGTGTTTTTTATCCAAATCTACTTAACGATAATTAATTTTAATGTTCACAAGGACTCGTCAATTTAGCCCAGTTTTTTCCTCTCTCCTTGAAATTAAATTCGACTTTCTTTCATATATATAGAAAATTAATAAATATTAATAATACATTATCAGTAAATTAATGTACATAATTAATTAATAGAGCGACACATAAATATTTTCTTAAAAAATCCTGTGATCCAATTTTCACTGTGAATTTAATTTTCATATAACGAATTTCTATATTTAATCCAAGTTTATAAAAAAGTAGAAAATTAATAATTTATTCACCAAATCGAACTTTTTTTTTAGTAATTGAATTTTTATCCCCAAGAGAAAATTAATAATTTAAAAAAAAATAATCGATTGTTCTTTACAAAAAGAAAAAATAATACAAGCAAATCGATTTGAAATGAGCTATTTGAAAAGGTCGGTCAATAAAATGAGACGACTAAATGTCTCATTCTCTGATAAATGAATATAGTATTTGAAAAGATTGGAAAAAAAGTAATATAAAAGTAGCAGAGCAAATGATGGATTGAAATTATACTCGTTTTACACCGTGAGCCTAGAAAATTATTTTATTTAACTATTATTCTAATCGAAGCTAAAATTGAATAGCGACCTTTTTTTCCCCCCTTCCGCCTATTTTCCCTATATATATTTATATCAGATATTCAATCTAACTTTTTATTTGAAACGCAACTCTATTCCTAGCGCAATAGACGCGATATGTATAAAGGTAGACAGATTACTATACAGAATTTGCTTTAATCAATATCAAGGAGTTGATTGACCCTTCAATCGTTATTTTATAACAAAGAAATTTAATAATCTCATAAAAATAGAATTTTCACTGTGCCCTAAAATTAAAAGCAACTGAAAACGAGATTTTAATTGCTAATTTATTCATTAATTTCTTCCCGTCAAAAACATGCAATTCTATAAATAAAGCACAAAAAAAACAAGGGATGGAAAATATGAATAGTTGAAAATTTTTTGTTACATTTTTGAAAATTTCATTATCGTTCAATTTGATTATTATCTTTTTTTTTAATTTTTTGTGACTAATTAATTTTTTTTACTATTTAAATTGAACTACTACAAAAATAATAGGTAATAATAAATAATAATAATAAAACAAAATAAAAAATACCTATTAATGAGGGAAATAATTATTTAAGTTAATTAAATTGTATTTGTTTCGAAAAACAATTACTGCGATTCGAGAAAAATTTATTAACAATCACAAATAAAGAAACATTAAAAATTATTTGGTTGAAGTAAATATTTCTTTTTTAATCGAAATACATTTTTTCAAGTGTTTTTCTCTTTTTTTCTTGACTACGATTTTTTTAAAATTAAACTCTTAAGTAATTAATTTTGATTTCAAATGATTTCATTTCGTGTTTTAATTTTAATTTTTTCAAAATACTTTCAACCCCAAAAATTAATTACTTGTAGTTTTGTAATTCCGTCCACATTGTATACAAATTTCTCCATCCGGGAAATGAAAATTTCGTGATTAATAAAATTTAATTGTAATAATTTTAATTTAATTTTAATTTTAATAATTAATAAATTACGAGCTATTTTACTATTTTTTTTTAGTAATTATTAACTATATTATAATTTTTAATAATTATTAACTATTTTGTTCTTTTTAATAGCTATTAACTATTTTGTTTGATATTTATTAACTATTTTATTTATTATTTTATAATAATGAATAATAATTATTTTAACTTGAAAAGTTATAATTAAAATAAATGAAAAATAAAACAATATTAATATTTGTTTTCTTTTTTGCAGATAAAATTGTGAATTTCGAAAGGTTCACCGTAAATAAAATTTATAAAGCAGTTCAACAACAACAAAATTCCACAAATTGGTTGGAACTCTACAATTTCTAGCAAAAATTAACAAATAATAATTCTACAACAAAATTGGATTGATTTTAAAAGTAAGTTTCTTTTTCTGACTTTAGAAATTTTTTATTTTTTATATTACAAAAAAATCAAGAAATAAAAATTCCTTGATTAATAAAATTTAATTGTAATAATTTTCATTTAAGTTTAATTATAATCGTAATAATTAATAATTATTATTGTAACGTGAAAAATATAATTAAATTAAGTAAAAAAATATTAATATTTGTTTTCTGTTTGCAGATAAAACTATGAATTTGAAAAGGTTCATCGTAAATAAAACTTTTAGAGTATTTCAAGAACAACAACAATAACAAAATTCTACAAATTGGTTGGCGCTCTACAATTTCCAACAAAAATTAACAAATAATAATTCAACTATAAATTGGATTGATTTTAAAAGTAAATATCTTTTTCTTACTTTCAAAAATTTTCATTTTTTTATTAAAAAGAAAAAAATTTGGAAAAACTTCAGTGAAATGAATCACTGTTTTTAATTATTTACATTATTTATTTTTGATAAATGGAAAATTTCATTTTTTAATTACAATCAAAATTTATTTGTTCTTAAGAAAATCAATTGTAATTTCTAAAATTAAATTGAATTCAATTTTATTTATTTATTTAGGAAGAATTTATTTATTTATTATTTTTAAATTTTCTCTGTCAACAAAATTAGTTCTGCATTTAAAATCTAATTAATTAAAAAAATTATTGTGTTTTAATTGTAATAGCTAAGTTAATTTAAAAAACTGTTGAGTTTTAAATCTAATAGTAAATTTAAAAAACTGTTGAGTTTTAAATGTAATAGTGAATTTAAAATATTGTTAAGTTTTAAATATAATAGTGAATTTAAAAAATTGTTGACTTTTAAATTTAATATTTAATTAAAAAAACCGCTGCCAAGTTGTATATTTTTTTGTATAATTTTGGTGCTCATTTCATGAACACTTTACTTCCTCATAGAGATAAAAATAATAGAAATATATGAATAACTTTTATAGATATGGTAAAAGTGATTGAATTTTGGGTCAATCAATTTATTTTTAAATACCCTACAAGATAGTTACAATAATTTAATAGTTAAACAAAAATTATCAAATAAAAAAGTTGAGAAAATGTCATTTTCCACAATTTTTGGTTTTTAAAATACCAATAATTTCGAAATTTATTATCGAATTAGGTTCAAAAATAGGTCAATCGAAGCGTTTTTTGAAGCTCTACAAGTCGGTAACGATAATTTTAAGATTACTTCTACATTTTTCAACAAAATTTTCAAAAAAGTCTTATTTTTCAAAATTTTGAATTTTTAAAAGTTTAATATCTCCGGTTAATATGGACGAAAAATGTTCAATTAGGGCTCAAAAGATGCGTCTAAAAAAACTCTACAAAATTATGGAAAAACATTTATAGGTGTCCAAACATTTTTTTAAAGTTATGGGCAAAAAACGTTTTTTTGCAAAATTAAAAATCCAAAAAAAATTTAGTTAAACTTTATTAATCTATCTCAAAGTACTCTCACTTTATGTCCGCAGGTGAGATCTACAATTTAAAAAAAAATTCAACCCAAAAGCTCTTCATGATTTCGAGATATTTATGAAAATGTGATGTTTACACACACACACACACACACACACACATACGGAATGACATTTTTTAAAAATGTCATTTTTGAACTCCTGAGGTCAAATAACATAAAGATATGTCAAAAAATCGAACTCGAAAAATTTCGGTATTACAATACTTCCTCTATGAGGAAGTAAAATTGTTGTATTTTAAAACTAATAGTTAATTTAAAAATCTGTTGAGTTTTAAATAGAAAAGTAAATTTAAAAAATTGTTGACTCTTAAATCCAATAGTTAATTTAAAAATTTGTTGAGTTTTAAATCTATAAATTAATTGAAAAAATTTTTGAGTTTTAAATCTAATAATTAATTTTAAAAATTTTGAAAACAGAAGAAAAATGTTTATCTTCAATGAAAAAAAAAACATTCTTGAAAAACAAGTTTAAAATTAGTATGAAATATTAATTGAACTTCTTTCCAAAAGAAAATAAATCTATTTGCAAAAAATATTAAATAAAATATTGAAATTCTTTTTTAATTCCTGTTGTCAATCAAGAAATTCTTTAAAGAAACCGCATATTGCAACGAAAAATAATTTAGGACACGGAATAATTTTTAATAAAAATAATAAAATTTAACCTACAATTGAAATTATTTGATCGTAATTTAGTTTAAATTCTGTTTATTTAATTTAATTCAATTTCATTGTATTCAATTCAGCTGAATTTATTTTTGAAAAACTAAAATTGATTTTCCGAAGAACATTCAATTTGAACAGTAATTAAAAACTGTATTTTCCGCATATGATTTAATTCTGAAGAATATATAGTTCAAATAATAAAAAAATAATATTTTGAAAATTTAATATAATATTAATTTTCTTTTCTTACTTGAAGAAAAAAATAATTCTAGAGAGAACGAAATTTGGTGGAAAGTGGGTCTTCGATTTTATCCTTATAGAGCTGGAAAATTCGCCGAAGGCTATGCGCTTAGAAATGATAGCACTGCGAGTATATGCGGAAAATTTGAAAGAAAAATGACTTTGTTTTTTCCTCTCATGGGGAAAAATGAGAATTTTTTTTTGTATTTTTCGAAATATATTTTTAGATTCTCTCTCCTTTTCTTTTATTGTTCAGAGCAGAGGAATAATAATCGTCGCAATCGCGTCGTGGAGAATTCTTCTCGTAGCACGTTTATTGATCACGAGTTTGAAGCCTCGCCATTGCCCTAGCTACTATCCGCACATGTTTTCGCCCTGGGTGTGGTATAAACTTTGTGATGCAATGAAATCCGTGGTAAAAAATTGTCCAAAAAATTTACTGGTAACAAACTTGTAGCACACACACTTTTTTTGGAAGGGAGGGAGAAATTTTCTTTTTTCAAAAGAGAAAAAAGGAAATACACTTGGCACAATGATAAGAAACACTGACCTCCTCAGTCTCGATGACAATTCGTTGAAATCAGTATGTGGCAGCTCATGTTCCAGTTTTCTTTTTTGTTTTAGGCTGCGCTGTTCGATTTTCGGATTCTTCTTCTTGGCGGAAAAATGAAAGAGGAAAAATGAAATCAACAATAAACACGAACCGCCCTTCCGGTATTCACCTGGAGTAGTGTAGTATTTGACCTGGCGGTGGATGAACGAGAGGAGGCGGTGGTTGACGACTGAACTACACGGCCGGCGCAGAGGGTGAAAAATTGTGTGAGAGGGATGAATATGAAGGAAGGGGCTCACTATCGAAGAGCGGAAAAATAAAGAGAAGTAGTTACAAAGGGTAGTGACGAGCCTCGGATAATCCGCGGGGCTTGTAGCTCGACTGGCTCACTAGTGGTGTATAATACTGCTGCTACTGCTGCTGCTGCTGCTGCTGAGGGCTAGACAAGGGAGGGTGGAAGTGCAGAATTCAAACTGGTGGGAGAAAATTCTACCTGTATACTATAACACTATGCACTTCTCCATCGCAGGGGTGGATTTGTCCTCCAAGGAAAATGACATTTACTATCAGGACTCCAAGGAAAATCTTTGCTGACGTCTATTCATTCAGGGTTGATCAATTTATTCTCTCTGATAGAGAAAAAAAAAATTCCATGATTTGATTTTTTTCCAGAACGAAAAATAAGAGAATGACTCTTTTTTTCAGAGTGTGAGGAAAAAGAGAATGACTATTCTTTTTCAATTATAGAAAGAAAAGAATGAATTTCTTTATACCAAAATGGAAAAAAGGAAAATGAATCTTTTATCACTCAAAAAGAAAGAAAAAAAGAATCTTTTGTCAGTTAAAAATAAGAAAACTAATATTTTTTTGATCAAGAAAAAAATGAATCTAGAGAAAAAGAAAACGAATCTATTTTTAGTCAAAATAGAAAATTAATCTTTTTTTCTCGTGAGAAAAAAAAGACGAATTTTTTGCCAGTCAAAAAAAAAGAAGACGAATATTGTTCTTCAATCAAAACAAACAAGACGAAATTTTTTTGAGAATCAAAATAATAAAACGAATCTTTTTTCCAGTCAAGAAAGCAGAGAATTACTATTTTTTTCAATTAAAAACAGAGAAGAATGAATTTTTTCCAATAGAAAAACAAAGAAAATGAATTATTTTTCAGTGAAAAAATAAAGAAAACAAATCTTGTTTCTAGTAAAAAAAAATGATTTGTTTTCAATAGACAAAAAAAGAAAATGAATCATTTTTCAGTGAAAAAATAAAGAAAACGAATCTTCTTGTCAAAAAAAAAAAATGATTATTTTTTTCAACAGACGAAAAAAGAAAAAATTAATGGTTTTCAGTAAAAAAAAAAAGGGGGAAATGAATGTTTCCGGTCAAAAAATGAAAATCTTTTTTCAGTAAAAAAAGGAAACGAATATTTTTTCAGTCAAAAAAAAGGAATAAATCTTTTTCAGTCAAAGTAGATAACGAAGCGTTTTCTATTTAAAAAAAAAAAATGATTTTTTTCTCGTAAAAAAAGAAAGCGAATCATTTTTTGCAGTCGAACAAAAAATTAAATCGTTTTTCTAGTAAAAAATAGGAAATGAATCTTTTTCTACGCAAAAAAAAAAATAAATAAAATCTTTTGTCATCAGTCAAAAAAAGAAAATTGAATCTCTCCTTTTTTATGTACAACAAAAATTGTCTTTTATCACTGAAATCAAATTTATAGAAAAAATTCTATCTCGAGTCGGATTAAAAGAGACTTTTACTACTGATATTATGATGACAAGATCTTAAAATGCGCCGTGACGATTTCGGTCGTAAAAAAACACTATGGCTTCTTGTTTAAATGTATATATTACGTCATGTTTTTTATGCCAAAAAGAGATTTTTAATTGCGCCTTGTATTCAAATATTTATTAAATGGCATAAATTAAAAGAAAATTAAAACTCTCACTCGAATTCTCTTTTAAAAAAAATATGAGACAAACATTAGAATTGTAAATTTAAAAATTGTAAAAAATAAATTGAAAATTTTTAAAAAAAATCTTAATTCTTTATTAAATTAAAATAAACAAATAGAAGGAAATGAAATTAATTAATGAATTAATAATTAATGAAAAAAATTTCAAATTGCATTAAATTTTATCAATTTTGCTTTTTTATTACTCGACATTTTCTCACTTTGAAATGTTTTATTTGAAAAAATATTTCAACCGTAATATTTTAATCCCACCTACAGAATTTTTTTTTTTCAAATTCTTAGCTTTCTGTCATTTTTGCCATTAATCGTGTGATATACATTTCAATAAACATGAATGCAATTTTTTATGGAGTTATTTTTGGAAATGTCATTCCTTTAAAAAATGGCATTTTCCTGGAAAAAAGGTTTAATCTCAAAAAAATTGCTCATTAAAAAAAAACTGTTTTAATTTCTAAAAAACTATTTCATTAAAAAAAACCATTTTAACTTAAAAAAATATATTTAATTTAAAAAAAGACTTTTTAATTTTAAAAAACTATTTAATGTTATGAAAAAACCTTTCCAATTTAAAAAAAAACTATTTAATTTTAAAAAACCTTTTCGATTTAAAATTTAATTTAAAAAAACCTTTTTAATTTGAAAAAAAATTTCAATTTAAAAAAAACCTTTATAAAATAGGTCTTAAAATTTTTTTACTGCACAAATGACATCACGGAGTTAATGGTTTATAGTTAACAAGTACACTTGAAGGAATAAATTATTAGTATTCACAAAAGTCATGTGCTCAAAAATAAAGAGAAGAGATTCTTTTGAGATTTTTTTTTTTATATTCCGCACTGAAGTTTAACTATAGATTTTGTATCATTGTCAATAAAATTAAACGATAGCTTCTTTCGAAGTTGTCTGCCTTGAGAAATTGCATTCAATTAGACCTTTTTTTTAAACTCGAATAACCGGTAAGACAAATATAATTAAATAATTCTTACACTCTAATGGATATGTAAAATAAACGAGGCTCTGCACAAGTATTTAAAGTGAAATTTGTCTAATTTTCATTTAGTTTCGTTCAATCCTCACAACCGTAAACATGAGATTCTTCATCTCTTTCTTTGTACTTCTCCTCTGCGTTGTTTATTCCCATCAATTGTGGAAATTCGGTAATAAAACTCTCACTATACGAAAACAAAAATTTTAGATAATCAATTCAAAAAAAAACAAACTAAAATATAAAATAAAAATTTTTTTTTCAATAATTATTGATGTAAATTTTTTGTTAATTAGTATTTAATAGCATCAATTTTGTAATTAATTTCTTTATTTTTTTTCTTTAATTATTTTATTTAAATAATTTTTTTATTTTATTTTTTATTTATTTTGATTAAATAATTTTTTTATTTTATATTTATTTTATTTATTCCTATCTGTCCTATTAAGGTAAAAAGGAAAAAAAATAAATTTTTTAAACTCGATTTTTGTTTTATTCTAATTTTTAAGTAAAAATTGTGAATAAATAAAGTAAATAATAAAATAATGAATTATTTGAATAATTAAATAATAAATAATTTTTTTTAAATTAATAAAATTATTTGTGAATGGATAAAATTGAAATTTTCGTTTTTTGAGAAGTGATATTTATAATCAATTAATTTTTCTTTAGATGAAAGTTGCAAAGAAGGGCATCCTGCATTAAAAAGTCAAGACGATACAGCCTGTGGTGTAATGTCATGTAAGGACGATGGATCTTCATTCGGAAAAGGGTAAGTTCTTCAAGTAAATTTTTATATTTAAAAAATAGTAATTAATTATTTTAAAAAATGTTTAAAATAAATAAAAATTAAATTTTTCTCTATTGATTTTAAAAAATGTTTAAATTATATAAAAATTGAATTTCCCTCTATTGATTTAAAAAAATTTGTACATTATATAAAAATTAAATTTCCCTCTATTGGTTTTTAGAAATTTTTAAATTATATAAAAATTAAATTTCCCTCTGTTGAATTTAATAAAAATTTTTTCATTGCTTAATTAAATTTAGATGTGGAACGTATACTTGTGCAAATCCAAAGGGATACAAAGAGTCAGATACTAAAAAACCATATCCTGAATGCTGTGGAGGACCAATTTGTTAATAATTTTTTACTCGACACTGCGAGCAGATAATTACAGAATATTATGAAAGGACAAAATTTTCTACAAATGTGATAACGACTATATAATAAGAGAAAATAATAATATATAGATTTTACAATTTTTATGCTTAGGGAAAAAAAGGAAAAATTATATTTGAATTTAGAAATTTTTCTCCTATCGGATAAGATCTAGTTCCGTTATATATTTGCACAATAATTAAAAAAACATTTCATTAAATTCATATTAACTACTGAAAATTACTGTAAATTCCGATAAAAATAAATGTTCCTGTAAATATTTATTTCATTCGTTTTTATCAAAATCGACCATCTCTATCGTTTAAAGTTGTTAATATTAATTGCATAATATCATATAATTTTTTTTTATCTTTTACTGAATGATAATATAAACTCTTTGTTTTTCATAAAGTAAATTCCGATTTTTGATTTTCTTTGTGGTTTAATTTTAATTCTCGATAATTTTGATGTATTGTAATGTAAACTTCATATTTGTTATTATTTTTGTTTTATTGTTCTTATTATGTTTTATTGTTCTTACTATGTTTTTCTGTTATTATTATTATGTTTTATTGTTATTTTTAGTATATAATACTTTTCATCTCTCATCAGTAATTATTCATTTTTATTGACGACATTATCAAATGTTATTTGACCCAAAAAGCTTACAATTTTCATCTAAAATGGAAAAATAATTCCACAACTGATATAAATCAGCGTCATAATCGGTTTACTTTGAAATCGTTTTTCTACCCTAGGTTTTTTTTTATATGTGTCATCCCTTCTTTCGATTCGTTTCTCGAATACTGCGGGGGAGATGAAAAAATAGGCCACTTAAAGGCAAACTTTTGGACGAATACATATATAATATAGAAAACAACTTTGATAACTTTCTTTACTAAAATGTATTTTATTTTCAATTCTTGTTTATATTAACAAAAAAATTATTCATTCATGCTTTTTGTCTTTGGACCTATTTTCTTTTAATTTTCATACGGAATTTAAAAAGTTTTTGTTTAAATTACTACTCAAAATTTCTATGTAAAATGAAAGATAGATGAAAATAATAATAAAGAAGAAAATAAAAATGAAGTAGTAATAATAATAAAATTTGTCACTTAAAAGCAAGAAGAATAGTAGTTTTTAAAGTAGTAAAGCTAATTTTGTTGAGAATTTTAATTTTTTGGCGGTATTCCCGTACATAAAGTTCTGTCACAACAATCTGGATATTCCTTTTTTGGATCTCCTTTTATGACTCCAATTATTCGCACACAATCATCTACTGGACATCTGAAAGTAAAAAAAAATTTAATATTATCTATTATTATTAAATATTTACTATTTCAAATTTACAATTTAGTATTTAAAATTTGAAAATTAATTGAAGGTTTTTTTTATCGTCAAGTCGTAAAATTACCTTGAAGAAAAATTATCAGGTAATTGCTAGCATTCAGTTATTATTTAATTATTATATTATGCACTGTATTAAACTAATTATAATTATTACTATTTAGCAAAATAACGCACAAAAGTTTAATGAAAACTTTTCTCCTATCTCAGCAATTATAATTGCTATAATATTGAATTCAAGAAACTTTATTATTTTGTGAATATGTTGTTCATTTTATAACAGTAAATAGCGTTTTATATCGAAATACAAACTTTTTAATTATCCTCAATATTGATA